GCATATCGGCCAAAATCCCAATATCCTGCATCCCTACTTTTATATTATTATATAATAATATTGACTTCTTAATCTTTAATTGACAATCTGGGCAACATGAATTCTAAATTTGAAGCACAATTATTAATTAATATCACCAAACTACATGGATTTTCCTCAATCCTGAAATGAGAATCCTTTGAGGTAAAAGGTTGAACATTTCAAAAACAAAACAAAAAAATTTATTTTCTTTTTTTCTAAGCATTTCTGATCATCCTGAACACTTATACTAGATAGCCCAATCATAGCTGTTGTTTTCACCAATCAAACTACACTCCTACCTTTGTGATGAATTTCTTTTAGTGTTAGTATCTGTTTACAGTGTATTAAAATATCGAAGCTAAACAATAAATGTTGTTTGCAGGAACGCCTGAGGAGGCTAAACCACAATGTGGCCAAAGAGACGGCTCGGAGGAAGACCATGCTTGAAGCATCAGGGGTTTTTACTCCCCGCTCACCCAGTAGACCATGAGCCTTTTCCCTGTTGACTCCAGTGGGGCACCATTACCTCTGGGTTGTTTAAATTTGTGTTTACTCCTAAACTTTGTCCATGTCTTGCATTGCTTTTATCTTACATTTAAAATGTGCATATTTGAAATCAACCTTGATATGATCCATAGCAGTTATTTAAAAGCCTTAATATTTCTCTTAATATTTTAAAAATGGTTCCTTTTAGGGTGTCATTATTTCTTCCAATAGATGAAAATATATTTGCGATGGCTGTAAGGTTTGGTGCATTTTGATCATGATGAAACTTTGTTCTGTATGATTTAGATTTGATCAGACTTTTGGAGTTTTTATGGCAATATTGAGTTTAATTAACCTATATGGTTTCTATTGTAACATTTTTTTTTCACAGTGGATAGAATTATGAACTTTAAACAGATTACTTAAAATCATCATCATATAAAATGCATGAAATGAATTAAATTCTACTATTGCTATAAGGTCATCAATAAAAAGGCAGTTAAGTTGTATTTATAATATGTGCTGAACTAAATGGAAATGTTGTTTGAAAGTTAAATATACTGAAAATTAGTGGTTTTATCTGTAGTCTGTTACCATCTAAACTACAATAAAGAAAACTAACTGAGAAATGTGAACATATCGACTCTTTAACAGCCCGATGATCACAAGCAGAAGTTTCTATGAGCGATAATCCACCTCGGTACACAGAATCCATTAAGGTTTAAATAACCTGGTGTTTTAGTCTGAAGATTGGGAAACATTAAGAATAGTGAAATAAAAAGGTTAAAGTGCTGCTTTAAGGCTGCTCTGAAATTCTTGATAATTTTACCGATACGATATTTCTTTAGCAGATGCATCATGTTGGCATATGTTTATAAAAACAGTTTGAGTGAGTGAGTCAGTTAGAAACGTGAAACTACTCGTGCACCAATACAGTGTTTTGCTATCTGCCATCACTACTAATCACATTCTTTATTTAACTGGTAAGAAAAATGCTGATAAATGTGAGGGATGTGGAGGGAAAGAAATGGAGTCTGAAAGGATTGTTGGGAATGAAAGGAAGCATAAAGGACATTTATTCAGTAAGGAAAGCATTATTTGTTTTTCTTCATAATACAAAATAAAAAGAACATTGGGCATGTGAGTCTATGGTGGCTATGTGCACCTTAAAGTTGCTTGCCATCCGCCATAATAGAAAAGAAGAATACAGACAGTTGGCGGACAAAAATAATATTTTTGAGTTTAACATTAAAAAAAGTAAAAATGAGATAAATAATATTTGTACAATGTATGTCAAGAAGAAATGGCAAGAACAACGAGAAAGGAGGGAATGCTAGGCTTTATTATAGTATTTATTTATTTATTTTCCGGGGTCCTGTCTGGCAATGTGGCAATAAGAATAATTATCTTGATGCCAAAAAGTGGAGCAGTATGGCTATCGCCATAGTGTTCTGCTTGATTCATGCATATAAATTGCTTTATTATAATTGTGCAGGGAGTAATACAGGTTATATGGACACTGCAATGTAAGTAGAACAGGAAAAACAAAAAACAGAAAAAAGGAGAAAAGATGAAAGAAGGAGGAGATAAAAGGGAGATAATGATAAAACATTTTCAGTCTGCTTCATCACCTGCAAAGAGATGTAAAAAGAACGGCACATCCAACAGACATGGTAGGAGACATACAATAAATTAACACCTAGATACTACCGCTGAAGTAGTATTATTTAATCTGACATGTACTCTGTGTTACCTGAAGATAAGAATATGGGCTTTCTGTGTGGAAGTTAATCTCTGAGTACCTGGAACCATTATTATAGTATTAAAAAAAGGGTTGGAAAATCAAGCAATTGTAATAGAATAAAAGAAGAAGATTTTATATTAAAAATAAGATTCGGACATAAAGGATTAAATTGTACTCTTAAAATGATTAATAAGCATAGCCCATGGTGTTGTAATTATTGTGAAAAATTAGAAAGAGTCAATTTTTTTTAGAATGTAATAAATATGCTCAGGAAAGAGGGGTGTTATGTAGGGAGTTAGGTAGGTACAAAAATAAATCCTCCTGTCTGGAAGGTGGCGGTAATGCACCTATAAGCTGTTTGCCAACCGCCTTAAAAAATAAAAATAACGATTTTTCTTTTGTTTAACTCCTTATCAGTTGGTGGCGCTAATGCACTTTTAACTAGTTCACCAACCACCATAAAACCTCCCAAGAAGAAGAAGAAAAAAAGAAGAAGAAGAAGACAGACGGCGACTCTGATATCCACATATCAGGGCTAGCAGAGAGAGCTCCTCCAGCAGTCCTACCTTTGTCAACATTTAGCTAAGGAGGCCGGAAAGCAGACAGGATGGACTCCTGGGTTCGGTTCAACTCCCAGAGTCAGGCCAAAGAGAAAGTTTTCAGGTAACAGTTGATAGCCGCTAGGCTGCTACAGTCTATGTTCAGCTGTTCTATGTTTAGAAGTTCTATGGTTC